CCATCGGTCCACATTACGTTTTTCTGATCGCGGCAGGTTCTGAAGATACTGGACATTCTCTTCGAAGTTGTGCTTTGAAAATGAGTAACCGTCAAATATCATATTAACGAAATATGTTTCGCCAAAATCTTGAATCGACTGTTCGAGACCTTCATTTGCAGCTGTAGCAGAGGTGTTGTGTGTCATAAATGTATCAAAAAATGTCTGTATTGTTATGGTCTGACTACGGTAGTCAGGTCGTGGCGCAAGTGATTTATTATACTTTGCTGGATTTTTTGTACACAGTTCCTGTATACAACGTATGCCATAGGCATTGGACTTTAGCTGCTCAGCTGATTTCAGTTGTACAATAGAAAATTTTGGATCGCGTACATACTGTTCTGTGATGCGTTCAACGGCTTCGCGTCGTTTTGGATCTTCGTCTCCGCCGACAAGTCCCGGAACATCTAATATTTCAAAATCCGTATAGTGCTTACTTTGTATTTCGATAACATACGGTTCTACACTAAAACCCGTTGTCTTTTCGATGTGTTTCATATAATTTTTCAAATGATCGGCTAATTCTTCTGGTCTTAATCCACTAGGCCGGCTAAAATGTATTTCATTATCTGCTAGTGACGAATTATAACGAAGGCAGTAGGCTACAGGACAACGGGTAGCTATATTTGTTTCCGAGAATGAACATGGGAAACCTAGAAAGTTTTGTACCAGCATTGATTTTCCGACCGAGGTTTCACCGACAATAACTAACTGTGGTATCACTAATGTGTCTTCACAGTTATAGTCTTTAGCTATCTGACGCAATTTCGTGTAGGCATCAAATGCAGCATGATCAATAATAGAATGCGGCGATCTGTCAGTGTTCGTGTCACTCTGGTGCTGACGTCCTCCGAAGATATTGTGACCCGAAATTCGCGGTTCGCTGAAGTCAGTCATTTTTGTAGTCCTGCAACAAAACATCAAATTATTTTTCTGCTTATGAGTCAGTGCGGGAGAGTCACAGAAGACCACGTTCAGGTTTTCCTTCACTTTCATTGGGAGAGTAATCCGATCTTTAATTTTTG